TAACGCAAACTTTAAGTTATTGAATCGGAACATCCGGGGCTCCGATTCACAATCCGCGAAATCCTACAAGATCCTAGGGAAACCTAGATCAACATATATTGAAATGAATTCGATCCAAAGGTCTGAACATGTCGAACCCGGATAACTCCTAATATGCGATATTCAATTGACGATCAAATGATAACCAAATTCAAATCCGAGCATACCATCATACTCGGGATGACATGGGGATTATTTTAGAACTCAAAGACCGGACAAAAAGTGGCCCACGCGCCGCCTCAGGCACCGGCAGCGTGTGGGTGCCCAAAGTGATTTCTGGCGATCGAAAGAACTCCAAACCGCTGGTCAAGACCTATACCTACAAGATCAGAACAATGAGTGGAGCAACTTTTGTTTTTGGACCAAGCCCAAAAAGTGGCCGAAAGTGGCCGGAATCGAGGGCCGAAACCGGCCAAAACTTCTATCGATTAATTGACCACCAAAATGCAGAAAATGATCCTAAACAACACAACTAACAGCTAGAACACATTAAGAGGACGAGAAACCATACCAAGTTCGAAAGATTTGGTGGCCGGAGGAGTCCGAACAAGCACCGAAAGTTTTACGAAAAATCAAGCTGTAAATCTGCAATTTTTGGTGGCGGAGCTGGCGAATCGTGGCGGGGAAGAGGTGGAACGGAGAGAGGAGGAGGAGGCGGTCCTTTTGGGACCAATGCCACCAAAATAGCGGCGTGAGGGGGCGATGATGGCTCTTGGAGCCACCAACCGAACATAAAAAGTCCCGGGGGGGTGGTCTATTACGCGGGGGGGAGAGAGAGAGAGAGAGAGAGAGAGAGAGAGAGAGAGAGAGAGAGAGAGAAATGAGGGTTTTTCAGATTTTATTAAACCCACTTTGAATTAATAAAATGACTCTCTGAAAAAAACAAACCCAGTTCATGAATTCCCTTAAATCGAAGAAATAACCAGAAAAATGTTTAAATTTTCAAAACGAGACACAGACATTGCAGGCTAGTGAGCTGAATCAAATAAAAACAACACAGCATAATTTACTAATTAAGTTAACGAAATCTATAACAGAGAGAAAGAGAGCGAGAGAGAGAGAGAGAGAAAGAGAGTGAGAGAGAGAGAGATTTGAACCTTAAAACTAAAGAGGGATTGGAAGCGATGGAGCTCTCGTCGAATTCGGTCTGTGAAATAGCGAGACGGAGGAGAGAATGAGAAATGTTTAGGGTTTACCGGGAAGTCTGTTAAAGTGAATGGCTTTTTTATTTTATTTAATTTTTTAATACAAGCCAAAATACTTTTTTAGTGCCCCTCACCAAAAGTATCTCCCTACTTTTTCACCGAAGTAGAATTGGTTGGCGTAAGAGCAAGTCCACTCATGCATGCCAGCACAGGTAAAAGGCCCCAAATCCTCAAAACCCAATTCCAGGGGTGAAGGTCAGTTCAGGCTAGGAGTGGGCTCCATCAGCCTAGATAAGCTCAAAGGAAAGATTTGCCTGAGCTGTTATGGGTTTGCTTATGTCAGCATGACATCAGCGACCAATTTAGAAATAGTGAATGCTAAAAAGTATGGTGGTCATCCACCGACTCATACATTTACAACACTCTCTCTTGAATGTTCACCCTACAATTGACATAGTTGCCTCATTAAAAACTTTGCTCAGAAAACCCAATGGGACAAAACCTAAGCAAAGGGAAAAAGAGTGCAACATTCTTCTGGATCATTGATATGGTGTTGGAGGCACTTATGCTACCTTGTTAAAACCTTGATAGGAAAAACCTGGTGGAACCAAAACCTAGTCGAAGTGAAAAGAGTACAACGCGCATATGTCCTATATGTAGAAAATTGTTGAATCCTCCTCCTGATGAATTACTCCCCTTGATGACGACAAACTTGAATTATTTGAAGATACAACACAAATGATATTGATATCTCATTTTCCTCATACAGAGCAAGTTTTGGTAATACTTTGTATAAAAATTTCTTCAATATCATCATTGGAGGATGTATGCGTGTCATTGTTGTTTAATTATGTTAACTCGCAAGTGTACGTGCCAATCAGTAGTATAGCAAGACAAGTACGAGGTCGTACCCACGAGGAGTGAGAAGTTAAAATTAGTTATGTACTTAGGTTACCAAATTCAAGAAGTTAGGAAGTTAAGTCTAAAACAGAATTTAAAGTAAGAGTGACTTTGTTGGAATGAAAACTACTAAAAGGGAATGCAAAATAACAAGTTACCAAAGCTAAGAAGTTGACCTACGAAAATAAGCTAAAAATGCATTCCTGTAATTGACAATCAGAAAGTTGGTTTTCGCAAACTGTGAATGCAATTGCATGTTGTGTGTGCAATTACCTAGTTTCTGTTGACAAATTGAATGTTGTGAAATGTTCTCAAACACTAGGGGTTCAACTTCA